CCCCCCCTGACGCGTCTAACTTTCGAACTTGTGAGTGATCAAGTAACGTGTAAATGATTAATAATTAAATGGCAAAGTTCACTTCATCACTTTCTAGTCAATGAGACTGGGAAGATTGTCGTTTGCGCGGAGATTGATCATAGAGAATCTCACACACTGTAAAAACAAATGTGGAAAGATGTTGCAATCATCGATCGAACAGAGACTTTCTTGCCGATCTTGAAGATTGGCTCGCGCGACTTGGTGGCTTTTTCTTAACGAAACGAAGATCCTAAGTCTCGCGAACGTTACGCAATAATTCGATAGTCACAAATCACCGGCTTGCGTGCGAACATTTTTCGAGTAACCGCAATTCGGAACAAAGAGTCGGCGAGTCTGCGAATATATACGGGGCGCCTGTCACTAAGTGGGACATCCGTCATACACTTACAATTTAGGTCAATGCGAGCGGAAAGAGTCTTCTACCATTTTGCAAACAACCAAGCAAAATTTTGCGCTATTAATGATTGAAAATGGCCGTGTACAGAGGTTGTTCTAAATTAATAACTCGAACAAATTCGAGCGGTTGTTTGCAAAGTAGTATATGACTTTCTTGTTCAGAATAGTCGAATCGGCAAATACATGACAGCCGCTGTACTTAGCGACAGGTATCGATATAATGAACCTCGAACTTGTATAAATTTTCTTACAAACTATAGAAGTCATCCTTCCTTCGTGCGTCAGCCTACGGAATCCGGTTGCGGTTCAGTCATTCGCACAATAATTAATTAATCCCCGATCAACCGTTGCGAATTTTACAAAACACGGTGCACGACTTTCCCGTCCAGCAGTTTAACCCGTTCTACCTGCGCGCACCATGGATGTACCATGAACATTTTCAGACACCCTGTATACAGCCGGCGAAAAGACCGCGACATTTTTCAGTCTGTGTTCGATTCGACGAGTCTCACAGGACGGGCGTTCAATTGTACGGACAGGGATTTTCCGCCTGGATTTTTCGTCCGATTTCGAGAGCACGTCGAAAAGAAGCGCGTCGGAATTTCTTTTCGCCGCCGATTACAGAGCGGCTCGACAGTCAGTCAGTCAGTCGACCGTAATCGGCCAGCGACGTTCGTTCGCGGCGGAGAGTGACACGACGGTTCAGGCGTCGTAATGATCACCGTTCTCGTAATCCGTAATCGTCGATTACGCGCCCAGGGAGTCCCACCACCCGCGTGTAAGCGCGTTTTACCCTCTTCACTCGCGCGCACCGGCGCTTCCTGCAACGGGTTAAACGCTCGAAGAAAAAAAAAAAAGAAAAAAAACACCGGGCTCACTTACGGGATGCGTTTTTTCGAGCTTTCGCCGAGGATCCGCGAATCGTCGTCTCAAAAGCGTCGATAAGTGGAGCGGCGAGACGCTGAAACAAAATGATACGGGCAAACCAGTTATTTGGACGAAGGAGGTCCCCCCCTCCCCTTTCAACACCTCGTAGGACGGAAGAATCACCATACTGTTGGCACCGGCTGGTAACTCTCTCGACGCGTAAAATAACCCCGGGCTTTTGAAATGTGATCGCGTTTGAAAGCTCGCTTTCACAGATGAGGTTCTGTTAGACCCAGCCGGTTATTACCACAAAAAATACGACCGACGGGGCGACGCGCTGTGGACAGTGTCAAGACCTCGTTTTATCGACGAGAGGCACGAAGTACCAGATCTGGAAAGCCAAAGGGTTAACCTTCGTGAAAAACGCGGCTCTATGATGACACACCCCGGGCGCCCCCCCCCTCCCGTCGTGTCGTCAGAGCGACCTCGATATTAGCGAGCGCTAGGTCGGAGTCCTCCTCGTCCATAGGCAGGATCGGCCCCTGACGACACGTCCCAAATGTAATAAGCCACCGAGCGGTCGTCCCGCTACCTAAAAAGCCCCCGGCCGCCGACAATCTCGAGCTCGCTGGCGCGCATCCAAGAGGACACCAGGGCTCCGCGCGGAGGGCGAAAAGACGGCGTCGCGACGCCACCCTCTTCCAGGCAGGCAGCGAGCGAGCGAGCGAGCGACCCGTGCCGCGCGAGTCGAGAAGGTCGGTTGCGAACGCTCGTAGCCTCTGAACTCTCGCGAAGCGGCGGGCGCGCGCGAGCGCGCGTTCGGCGAAAACGGCGGCGTTGCCTATTTTCGTACGCGGTGTGCTCGCGCCGCCGTATAAAACGGCGAACGTGCGAGCGAGCGAGCGAGCGAGCGCGCTCGTTGAAAGTGAAAGGAGGTTGAATCGCTCTTACCCGTCCACTTCTGCCTGCCTGCCTGCCTGTTTGCCGGCCGGCCTGCCTATCTGCCTACCTGCCTGCGTCGCCCCACGTCGACATCTCTCTTCTCCTCCCCCTTTCCTCCCTCCCTCTTCTTTTCTACTGCCCCCGACCTCACAACCGCGCGTAAACCTCAATCCGCTCCATATTGCCGCCTCCGCCACCCTGTATATGTATTTCTCTCTCTCTCTTTCTTTTTCGCGAGCGCCTGTCGACTCCGCCACATCGATACCGCGCGGAATCGAATACGCGCAGCGCCATACGATCATCCTGTTGCGGTGTTCACGCAAATTCGTCTCGGCCGGGCGAAGGCGCGCCATTCTCGCGCGCTCCGGCTCGTGTGTATATATGTATGTATGTTTGTATGTATGTACGCGCGCGCGCGCGTTCCTTTTTCACCCCACGGTGATGGCGATTTCGTGACGTGGACCCGGGTCTTCGTGACGCGGCGCGGATCTACGAGTGGATCTATGCTTTAGGTCCATCGAGGTAGCCCCCCTTCTCCCCTTCCTTCGTTCTTTACATTGAACGAGAAAAATAATGATAGTCCAATATATGCTATACTCGTGAAACGATTAATTCGATTTTCTCTTTCGATTAAGTTTCGTGTTACTCGTGAGGAGAACTTTCTGGCTTTGATATCACTATCAACAAATTCGACCCTGTGTTATTAGCAACTAGCGACACATCCTTATTTATATAACCAATAATTTTATATATTTTATACAACTAATACTATATATATATATATATTTTATATATATATATGTTTTTTTATATATATTATATATATATTTTATACTTTTTATTTTTAACTGATAATATTCTCCTGTATGGAGTGCATTTAGTTGAATTCTTTCACAGAGTATGTCGAGGAGACATATCGAATCGAGCAAATACACTTTATCGCGACGAGCCAGCGGACGTTATGCGGGCGCGAAATGGCGGGAAACACACACGTACACACATAGAGAGAGAGAGAGAGAGAGAGAAAGAGAGAGAGAGAGAGAGAGAGAGAAACTCTGCGAGAAAGGTGTCAAACGGTAATATTTTTTTTTCCAATTCCAGTCTTGCCTATTCCCGCAAAGATATCGCGAAAGCCCCCTCGCGCGGCTGCGATCGAAACGAGCGAAAAGCAACTGTTGTAACTTACTGTCACGTTCACGGCATGCGCGTTTCCCCGCAAACTGCACCACCGCTTAAAGGGGTTAAAAGCGCGGCTCGCACAGACGCTCGAGATTCAGCGACGATTCCCGCCGCCGTTCGCCATTCGGTGGCCACC